ATGTAGCAGAAAGCAACTGCAAGAAGCATAAAATGTCCAAATTAGCAGGAAAAAACAGAGAAATAGCAGGGAAAACCAGGAAAACAGCATAAAGTAGCAGATTTCTAGCTGAAATAGCAGAAAACAGCTAAAGTTATCAAAAAAGTACCTAAAACTAGCATGAGAAATTTAGAGGAAGCATAACCAAAGCAAAATATGTGAAAAGCTGTGAAGAAWTATGAAGAATTTCAGATGTTTAAAGCAGTTGAAACATAGCCCCATTCAAAGTCAATGGGGCCAAAATCAGCTAAAAAGTGAAATAGCTAAAAAAGTATAAGTAGCTGAAATCCCCGGAGATATAGCAGGCATGGCATTAAYGAGCCGGACRTTTTGATATATGAATTGTACGAATCGGACAAAAACTGTGGGACGAGATAGATGCCGAAAAACGTACAATGTAGAGAAAAACGAAAACAATAGGTTGAATGCCTAAAGGCATTCACCCAATTAAAAGTTTAAGAAAACAGTTAAATTTGCAATAACACTGAACACAGATCCCTCATCTGCAGCCAACTATAAATTCACAGAATACATTCCAAATTACATTACGTGTTACTTCAGAAAGTTAATGTGCATTATTCAAAACCCTCAAAGCCTGTGGGGAAAACGATTTAAATGATGAGACGTAGTACATTTAATTGAATGGTACTGTCTCCTCGAAGGAAGAAGCTTGAACATGTCCTTAGCAGAATGAGTTGGATCGTTAATAATAGAAAAGGACTTAGAAAAAAGTCTGCTTTTGAAAATGTCCTCCAAGGCTGTTAACTCACAGCCTGTTATGTTACAAGCAGAGCGCACTACTCTGTTTAAACCTGTCCTTTCTTTGCTGGTGAGATTTCCAAACCACACTGTGATAGAGCTAATGGAGCTAATCAGTAAACCATAATATAGCTGTACTTGACAACTTCTTTAAACAATTCAATAACATTGATAATAGCAGCAATAACCATATTTATTTTTCATTTTGATATGCAGTGATGACCATCTTTTTAAATAACAACTTAAAAAAACAACTGTATTTGAGTTTGTTACAAAAATAACAGGGATGCACCGATATAAAAATTTCAGCCGATATCGATATCAGATATAATCATTGCTGTTATGGCCGATAACCAATATTTACCGATATTACACAAACACACAATCGGCACAGTTTTACATATCGGGATGATACAGATATTCTAAAAAAATACTGATATCTGCTGATACCGATACTGATGCCGATATATCGTGCGTCACTAAAAAAATTATGAACATTTTGAATTCAAACCAGCAACCGAACCGTTCAAGCCAAAAATCAGTTATTGTTAACTGCCCATCCATCCATCCATCCATCCATCCATCCATCCATCCATCCATCCATCCATCCAAGACCCAGAGACACCTGAACTCTTCCACTGAACTCATTCCAATCCAAAATTTCCAATCCAGCCTTTTCTGGTGAATTACTATGATGTCAGACTTGGAGGCCCTGATCTTCGTCCCAGCTGATTCATACTCTGCTGCAAACCACTGCAGTGCCTGCTGTAGGTCCTGGCTCAGTAAGACCAGCAGGACCACATCATCTTCTAAAATCAGTGATATGATTTAAATCCCCAGAACTGGAAACTCCACAACTAGAAATATTGTCCAAAAACATTATGACCAGAGTTTGTGACCAGGGCAGAATCAAACACTTACTGGAAATGAATCTGACTTATTATTGACAACCAATCACTCTCTAAAGTTCTACAGAGACCAAGTGATTTTGGTAAGGGGCCCGGCACACCACAGTCTTAAAATCCCCTAATCCTTCTTTTAGAAAAAGAGAGATACCACCATCATGATGTGCCAGTCCAAAGACACTTTTCATGACTTCCCCTCAAGTCTTACACACATGTGACAAATAAGTTGGTCTCCATGATAAAATCTGAGTAAAAGCAGGTCTAGACCAGTCAATAGGCATTGAGTTTGTTGCTTCCCTTAAAAACAGCTGTTTACCAGACTCCGTCTGGGTGTGTTACTGTAACATTTTAGTAAAGAAGCACCACACGTAAATAAGTTTTGGGTGACTGTTGCTATATTTTTCATATATTTTCTGCTCAGGCCATCCTGAAGCGTAGCCTCAAGCAATCATGTTCCATCCACCCGTTGATGAAGAGAGGTCATCCCAACAATCTTGAGTACTTCCTATCAAATATTGGCAAAGTCTACATGAATGGGTGAGTCTTCATTTACTAGTTTATACTGGTGAAGTTTTGTTGATGCTGAAAGCATCTGTGTCATCATTTGTTTCTCTATAAACCACACCTTCATAAGTTAAAGTACATTTTTAATGAATCTCTTTAGCATCAACCTGGATTCCAATAGCCTACTCCCACAGATGACCTATCCTGTTCCTGTTGGTACCCCAATGATCTCTCCGTTAGTGATGTGGGACCATGCTCAAACCTGGGACATCCCCAAAGCAGAACATTTTATCAGCAGTTCAGGAGGTTCTAAATCTGCTACCATCTACAACATTGGTAATAAATCTGAATTTAAATCCAGTTCTCAAATTTTCAAGTCGTCATTTTAATATGTTTTGACTTTCTTGTTGTTTTTGTTATCTTTCTTTTCTGTCATGACAGAGATAAACCCAGAATCAGCAGACAACTATCTAACTGAACACTGTATCGATGGACGTGTTCTGTACCCCGCCACGGGTTACCTGGTGCTGGCATGGCGCACCTTGGTGAGAAGTCGAGGGGTTGTGATGGAAACAACTCCTATCAACTTTGAAGATGTGATCATCCACAGGGCTACCATCCTGCCAAAGACTGGTAAGACCATCAGGGCTCAGGCGGTGTGGGATTCGACACGTTCAGAACTGATCTACTGATTTAATCTATTTCCATCTTTCTGTTCCTGACAGGCTCTGTTCAATTAGAGGTGCACCTCATGCCAGCCACAAACAAGTTTGAGGTTTCAGAAAATGGAAACTTGGTTGTGAGTGGTGAGTAGTCTTTACGTCTTGATCTTTGATACCCATGTACAGAGGTCTGAACCAGCTCTATTCAAAGGTTCTGACACTTTGTGGTAGTAAGATGAAGAAACAGTAGCATGGATTTATGTCTTCCTATTAGAATTATCAAACACACCCTTCATTAAACTTTTATCCAAATCAATAATAAAACAACAAGCTGGGTGTAAAAAGAAAAAATATGTTTTGTTTAGTTCAATATTCTGATTCACATTATTTTAGGTAAGGTGAGCATTCTGGAAGAGGCGTCCCTGGATTCATTTCATAATCATCTAAATCAGCAGTTTGTTGGAAACTGTGACACCAAAATGAAACTGAAGGCTGCTGATGTTTACAAAGAGCTTCGACTTCGAGGTTATGACTATGGGAAGGCATTCCAAGGCATTCTGGAGTCCAGTAATGCAGGTAAAACCAATGTAACTGTAAAGTTGTATTATTTTTCTGTGCACAAACATTATTATTATTATTATTATTATTATTATTATTATTATTATTATTATTATTATTATTATTATTATTATTATTATTATTATTATTATGTGTTCTGTTAATTAATTAGCCTTATTGATCTGACTGTTTTCCAGGAGACAGTGGGAAGCTGCAGTGGACAGGAAACTGGGTGACCTTCTTAGATACCATGTTGCAGATGATTGTGGTCGGCCTGCCAGGTCGCAGTTTGCGTCTGCCAACCAGAATCCGCTCAGTTTGCATAGAGCCAGCTTTACATCAAGACAAAGTCTGCGAGTACATGGATGGAGTTCAAGGTTTGTTTGATTATAAAGTTCAAGTTTTAAAGTCTGAATTAGTCAAATCATAACAACTTAATAATAATAACATAACAGTGACTGAACATCACTGTGTGTTCACTAACAGTGAGTCAATATATTCTTCATCCTTCAGCAGTTTTTTCTCTTCTGCACCCCTAGCTGTGCCCGTTGATGTGAACCGTTGCCTTGACATCATTGTTGCTGGTGGAGTCCAGATCTCTGGTCTTCATGCCACGGTGGCCCCTCGTAGACAGCAGCAGCAGAGGTCCCCCACACTGGAGGAGTTTGTGTTTGTGCCCCATGTCCTGACAGATGTCCTTACCACCAATCCAAAACTCACAGAGCGGTTGAGACTCTGCAAAGGTACAGAGGATGTCCTCTTACACTGAGTGCATTCCTTAGTCTGAAATCTATTGAAATGGATCTGTTTGACAGCAGATAGATGAGGTTTCAACCTCTTACTTGGAGTTTGAAAACCCATTGAAATTAAAAAGCAACAATCCTTCAGTCAAACAGCGTATTGTGGTCCAAACAGGAGCCACACTATCAGCTAAACACCAGATACTTCTACATTTTAAAACAGTGTTTATCAATGACATTTGTTCCAGATCTGAGTACTATGTTTTATTCTACAAGCTCATTTTATTCTTAAAACATTTATTTCTAACACATCCCTGATATAACACAATAATTATTTTATGTGGATGTTTTGTCAGCTGACATGTTATTGTATTAGAGCATTAATCTTGTAATACTTCAAATGTGAATGTGGTTTAAAATGTAGTTTCTGTGGGTGTTTTATTGTCACAAAGAAGAAATAAAACTGAGAGCATCTTTATTGTAAATTTGGCCTCAAATACTGTTTATGTGAGGAAACCGAGAAGCAAGCATGACAACAGGCAAATAACAAAAAACACACAATGATGCAGTTTTTATGGAAACTACCAGAATTTAACTTGTTTTAAAAGAGTTGAACTGAAAATGTAAAATAAGAACTCAAACTAATTTATTTCGTATAGTGACTTCAGTTCAGAATGTGTCCTCATGAATAGATCAGTTTGAGTTGGTGTGAGCTGAACTGGGAACCAGTTCCTGTGAGCAGTGAACATGTTCAACACTTTTGTAAAAAGTCTCATTTTATTTAACTTTGCTTATGGTTCCTGTCAACTGAAAACAAACTGTTAGTCCGGTTTCATTATTGAAGTTAATCCTCAAAGATTTTCAGGATTTTTCTCTTTCTTCATTCAGGTTTAATCCACAGACTCCAGCTGAAGTTGGCAGACCATGGGGTCAAGCTGTCCATTCCTGGACTACAGAGGGTGTTGGATGATTCTCTTCCCATCCAAGACCTGTCGAGTCCTGACCTGGTGCGCCTGCTGACCATCCTGTGTGGCCTGGAGCTGAATGGGAACCTTCGCTCTGAGCTGGAGCAAGTGGTAATGAAGGAGCAGGCCTGTCTGCTGCAGGACAGTCTGCTGCACGGCCTGCTGGACGACCCGGCTCTCAGACACTGTCTGGACCTGACCATGGAGAACTGCACGCCTGGGAAGATCAAAATCGTTGAGGTAAAATATTAAACTGATTTATTTAAACTGATCATTTTGATGGCTAAAGGATTTGAATTTGTCTCAAATGAGCTCACCCATCCTGCTTCTGCTAGGCTCTGTCAAATGATGGTCAGCTCTTCTCTCGTGTGGTGCCCCTCCTCAACATCCAGCCCATGTTACATGTGGACTACACTGCCACAGCACCAGATCTGGATCTTCTGGACCCCCACAAGGATGCTCTGGAGGAACTAGCTGTTGCTTCAGCACAGTGGAACTCTCTTACCCAACCTGCTCCTGGAGGTCTGGGCTCGGGGGCAGACCTGGTCGTGTGTAACCATGCCTGGGGTCCTCTGAAGACAGACCCTGGACTGTTGGTGGCTAACCTGGTTTCTGCAGCTAAACAACAAGGGTTTGTTCTGCTCCACACTTTGTTGAAAGGGGAGACACTTGGAGAGATGGTTTCCTTCCTCACCAGCTCGACTCAGAACAGCAACCAGTCTGTCCTGCTCACACAGGTGAGCCATTTCATGATGATCTGGATCATAAGAGCCTAGAGAGGCTGAACGAAAAACTTATTTTGGATCTAAAAAATAGCTCATCTTATTAGAGGCTGAAGCAGATGGGCCGTTTTGCTGATGTTTGTGTTTGTTTTACAGGCTGAGTGGGAGAAAGTGTTTTCTGAGGCCTCCTTGGCACTGGTGGCTGTCAGGAGGTCATTTTATGGCTCAGTCCTCTTTCTCTGTCGCCAAAAGTCTGAGAGCAAACAGTCCCTGTACCTACCTGTGGATCGCACTGACTTTATGTGGGTGGAAAAACTCAAGGTGGGTTTCATTTAAAGACTTTTGTCAGAGTTTGGAATGCTTCTAAACTCAAACAATAATGTGTAGCTTTTGTGTTTTTATGTTTGCTTAGACATAAAATACTTCAAGGCATTCTTATTCATCTAAGTCTTGGTCATTAAAAACTTTAAAGACGTCATTGTTTAAAAAAATAGGTGGAAAAAGTGGATAAAAAACAACAACAATGAGCCACGATTGAGTCTTCAGCCATGCTGCATGTTTGATGTCTTCAAACATGCAGATTGGGGTATTGATTGTTTTTGTTTTAGATAAATGAAGAAAAGTAGTAGAACGGAGCAGACGGGTCTTAGTTTGTCTGATCTTCTTTCAACCTTGGACCTACAGAAATATGCTAAAAAATCCCTAAATAGTTTTGGTTTTTAATCATATTTAAAATTGTTCTTTAGGAAAGCCTTTAGGACTCTTGGATTTAGTAAATATTAATCAAAACCTGAAATCTATTAAAAAGTTATTTATTTTTATGTGAATGACTTGGTAAATGTGTCAGGACTTTTCAAATGTGTTTTTTATTTTTATTACTATTATTTTTTTGCTGACTATGCATTTTTTTGTTTAGGTAAAGATATAGAAAAAATGTTTGAGATGGCACAGAAAGAATTTGAGAAAATACAAAACTCTTTTCAACAAAATAAATTGTCATTAAATTTGGATAAAACAAATTATGATATTTAGTAAAAGGAAGACAACTGTTGATTTCTCATTTAAAGTAGATGGTACTGTGATCTGTAAAGTCAGTGAGGTGAAATTTTCTGGGTGTCAACATTGACAAGCTGACATGGAGACCTCGCATACGTTATTTAAGAACAAAAATATCTAAATCTATAGGAGTAACGTATAAAGCCAGGGAGTTATTCAATGACAAAGCTCTGTGTTGTAAAATTCAATAATTTTTCCACGTTTAATTTTCTGTATTGAAATCTGGGGTAAAGCTTGCAAAACTATTACAAATCCAATTTTTGTTTTGCAGAGAAGAGCCATAAGAATTATCGCTAGAAAGGATTACAACCATCCATCAAGTACTTCATTTTATAAACTGAAAATTTTGAAATTCTATGATTTGGTTGACTGTAATATTTTACTGTTTATTTACAAGTCTCACAGAAACATATTACCTTCCAACTTACAGGTAAACTTTGAGACAGTTGTTATCTTAAGGGGATGGAAATGTTTGTGAAGCCATATTTTCGTACTTGCTTAAGAGGAAGATGTATTTTAATCCAGGGTATAGTTTAATCCAGGGTATAGGATTATGGAATGGTCTGGAAGATGATCTTAAAAATGCCAGATCTATGTATATACGTATTTAAGAGACAGATAAAAGCTAGTTTTCTGAAGGTAAATGGAAAAGTAAAATGTGAAGCTATATGAATTGTTGTTTGAGTTGATGTTTTTATTTTTATGTAGTATTTTTTTTGTAAATTATGTTTTGTTTGAATGTATTCTGGGGGTAAAAGGGGCAGACATTATAAGATTTATTCTTCTTATGCTACCTTTCATTTTATTTAGATTTTTGATTTGTGTATTTTCTTTGTTTTTTTATTGTATATAATTATTTTGTTTTTTTAATGAATGAGTACATTTTTTGAATTGAGTTGAAATGTAGTAATAAATGTTTTGATATGAGTGTAACCCACTGTGGATGCTGTGTCTGATTTGGTTCTCTGTGTGTGTTTTTGGAAACAGGAAGTGATGGCAGATTCATCGGATCATCTTGTGTATTTGACTGCCTCACACGCCTACAGCGGGGTTGTGGGAATGGTGAACTGTCTTCGTCAGGAACCAGGTGGTAACAGAATACGGTAAGGCCCGTTTTTGAGAATTAAGCACAGATAGAAATTCGCATCAACATTTTCATTTAGCTGCTTTTTTATTAAAAAGGATTTAGTTTTTACATTTTATCTCTTTTTTCCTTGTCTTTCTTGGTGTCCAGCTGCTTGTTTGTGTCCAATCTAAGTGGGTCCTCAGAGACACCAAGCCTACAGCCAGGCCATATGTCTGTCCAGTCTGTGTTGGAGGGAGATCTGGTTCTGAACGTGTTCAGAGACGGACAGTGGGGAACCTTCAGACATCAGCTGATCTCTCACGGTATCAAATTAAAAAACAGAGCTTGGTTTTCTGACTGTTGCTCACTTTGATTCCTAAACATTATATTTCCTTGCAGAATGCTTGAATTGACTTGTTTCTGTGTGTTTTCTTGCTGCCAGATCTGAAGGAAGAGTTGACGGAGTCTGCATATGTCAACGTGCTGACTCGAGGTGACCTGTCTTCTCTGCGTTGGATTGCGTCACCACTCCGACACTTTGTCAGCAGCAGACCCAGCGTGCAGCTGTGTCACGTCTACTACAGCTCGCTCAACTTCAGAGATATAATGCTGGCCACTGGCAAACTGCCACCGGACGCTATCCCAGGTGACAGCTGATTCAAGTCTGTGGAAAATGTTTCTTTGGTTGTTTTCTGGGTGATCCGGTCAAAACTATTGACACAGAATGTCCATCCAGAATCTTTCCCTGCTTCTTCCTTCCTGGGTTGCTGGTGCACATTTCCAGCAGTCACTGTGAGGAACACAAGGGACACACTGGACAGGTCTTCAGTCCATCACAGGGACACACCGAGGCAAACAACCATTTACAATTTTACTCACATCTAGGGACAGTTTAGAGTTACAAAAACACCAAACAGTCACATTTTTGGTCTGTAGAGGAAACCAGAGAAAACCCACATGTGCACAGAGAGAACATGTAGTAAATTCCACCAAGAAAGGTTCCCCTGGGCCGGGATTTGATCCTGTAGCTGTAGGAGACAACAGATCTATCAACTGCACCACCATGTTGCCTTTGACATAAAATATCCTAATAAATAAAAATGTAAAATTTTAAAGGGAGCATAAATACCCAATGAATTCTACTCATTTTACTTAAAAGCCAGACTATAAAAAGCCAGACTATTAAAAGCTAACATATTTAATGTTAGCCTGTTCTTTCATGCAAGAAGTTTAGACTAGGATGGTTCTATTTCATCCCTACAACCACCAGACGGTGGGATTCATAGAACCGTAAATACATTTGTAACTTTGGTTTTATAAGAAATGGAGTCATTTTAGAGTTGGTCAAACCCTGAAAATATAGAGTGTGTGTCACAACTATTTTCTCTCAGAGCATGCAGCAAGTGTTCTGTGATTGGTCAGAACGTCGTGGGCGTGTTTATGTGGAGAAGTGTCTGTTGTGCACAGCTGTCATTTAGCTCCAACCTATTTTCATTCTGGACAACCAGAAAGACGTAAAGGCTCTCCATCACGACGGTTGTCCGTAGCTGTGTCTCAATTCATGTGCTGCGTCCTCGTGAATGCACATTTGTCGGCTGCATATGTCACTGCCCCGCGCCGAGTGCTGTCCCCATTTGAAGGTTCCTCATCATGTGGCCAAGGAACGTGGCCCACATAATCTGAAAAATCAAGGATATGTCCGAGTGTCCTCACCAGCCGAGGATGTCCCGGGTTTCAACGCACCGACAGCAAACTAAACAGAGAAACAAGGACGGTGGAGTTTTTATTTTTTTTTTATCAGGTCGGCGTATTTTAGTATTTTATTAAAAATACTTCCATACTGCAGACATGTTAGCATAAAACATCACAGAACACAGTATTTCCTAGCATCCAGTCAGAGTGTGGTTCTTCCAGAGAAGTAAATGTTTCCTGTTTGTGCAGGAGACCCAGCTCTGCAGCACTGTCTGCTGGGGATGGAGTTTTCTGGTCGGGACTCTAAAGGTCGGCGTGTGATGGGGCTCCTGTCTGCTAAAGGTCTGGCAACAACTGTGGACGCAGATGAACAGTTCCTCTGGGAAGTTCCTGCCACGTGGTCAGTGGGACATTTTTTACTATTTTGAACGTGGTTTAAAACATAACTGTTGTCCAACTCAGTGTAAAACCTCTGAATGAAAGTAATATTTAAAGGTTTACACTCTTAGCAGCATCTTTTTGCCTTTTTTAAAATAAAGTTTCATGTGTAATGGTGCTAAATGTAATGTAAAAATGAGGCTTGAAGTCAGACAGAGACAACTTTAGGTTAATTCTACAGTACATGGGTCTTAGGTGTGAAGGGTTTGTTGTCTCTGTGTGTCTGCAGGACTCTGGAGCAGGCTGCCTCGGTGCCGGTGGTCTACGCCACAGCCTACTACTCACTGGTGGTCCGTGGAAGGCTTCGAGCCGGTGAAACTGTTCTGATCCACTCAGGCTCGGGGGGAGTGGGTCAAGCGGCCATCACCATCGCGCTCAGCAAGAACTGCAGAGTTTTTACTACAGTTGGTGAGTATGCAACCATCTCATGAAAACACCGTAACAGTTTTTACTTCGTCTCTAATGTGCTATTATAATGTTATAAACATATAACACTCATAAATGTCTTCTCCAAATAAAAACTCTAATTATATTGTAACACACTGAAAAGTGTTTCCCTCTGATATTACAGAATTATAAAATCATATTCGACTGGAGAAATCATCTTTACTGAAGAAATGCAACATGACTCTGAATGATGCTGCTGAGATTTAAAGAATGAATTTTAACTAAACTGTTCAAATAGAGCTAAGCAGAGCAGGAGACAAAAACACCAATGCAGAAGCTAAAAGCTAAAACCAGCAAAAAAATTAGCTAAAAGATGAAATCAGCAAAACACAAGCTAAAAGATAATCTCATTAAATCAAAAGCTAAAAGCTAAATCTTGCAAAATAGATGCTCATAGCTAAATATCAGCAAAACAGTATCTAAAAGCTAAAACTAGCAATACAGTAGCTAAATGTTACAAAACAGAATCTAAAACCAGGAAAACAGAAGCTAAAATTTAAAACTGGCCAGTACAGTAGCTAAATTAAAAACATCAAAACAGAAGCTAAAAGCTTAAATCAGTAATACAGTAGCTAAAAGCTAAAACCAGCAATTTAGAAGCTAAAGCCAGCCATGCAGAGGCTAAAGTCTGCAATTCAGTAGCTAAAAGCTAAAACCAGCAATATAGTAGCAAAAGTTAAAAATCATAACAAAAGCTAAAAGTTAAATTCAACAATACAGTAGCTGAAGTTAAAAATACCACAACAGACACCAGCAACACCAATGTAAAAACTAAACCAGCTAAACAGAAGCTAAAAGGTAAAATCATTATTACAGTAGCCGAAAGCTAAAAGGAAAACGTGCTTGCTGAAGTGGATTTTAGAGATCAGTTATTTGAAGGAACTGAATAAATCTTAATGTATTTATAAAGCTGCCATTTTTAAACAATCTAAAAGTTAGGAAAGGATACACTGATGAGGTGTATAGAAGTAGTTTAATTTGTACAAATAATGCTTATTTTTACCTGTCCTGATGCATTTTAATATTCCAGGTAGAAAAATCTAAAAAAGGCTGAACAGATGAAACAAAGAACTCGTCCAGAGGACCTACTACACTTTTTTAGATTGAAGTTTACCTGTTTCTGCTCTGCTGTCATTCTGACAGCTGACAAGATTGGGGACATTTCCAATGTAAAATGCCAATAAATCTAATATATTAGTACATTTGTACATAAACGTAAATAAAATCAGGTGTGAAGGACTGAAAGACTAGAGCTGACCTTGAATAGCAGAAGTAGCTGTGAATGTATTTGGTGACATGAACTGCAGACAGGTCAGTGCTGACCCAGGACACTGACTGCAGTGTGTGTTGCTTTCAGTGATGTACGATGTATAAAACATGAAGCTGTGAGGCTGTAATGGTAACGTGTGGTGTGTTCTGTGTGGACAGGCTCGTCAGAGAAGAGGGCCTACCTGCAGCAGAGGTTCCCTCAGCTGTCAGATGAATCCTTCTCCAACTCCAGAGACACATCCTTTGAGCAGCACATCCTGCTCCACACGCAGGGCAAAGGTCAGACATCTGGTTCAGCTGGGCTTTTATTCTCTCTGTCACATTTTAATGTCAAAAACCTACCTTTGATCCACACCGTGGCAAGTTTATATTATCTGAAAAGAATCATTGATCACTCTGTGGAAAGGAACAGTCAGTATCTTACCTGTTGTAGATAACACTTGCAAAAAAATTTTCTCACTAGACTAATGAGCTAGTGGCTACAGGCTAAAGATAGCTAAGAACAAAATGAAGCAGCGCTGTGTTAAAACCTCTCCAATCTTAAAATGTTCACTGCTCAGTGAGAGAATGTTAGTTTAGAGACTTTTATATGGTTGTCAGTTTTGCACGATGCTGTTATTTTTATAGCTTTTTTTTTTTTACAAGAATAATTTGTTGAGGACCCGTTAGCTATAACACTTATTGCAGGAGTTAAAAAAAAATTCTGTCAAAATAAGTGTGATGTGAACCTGAGATATTTTTTTTGCATGAACCCCTGTTCAATAAAAAAACAACTCTTAAGTTCAGCAGCAATAAATGACCTGAAAAAGTGAGTCAAGATTGCAAAAATAGAAAATATTGTTTTTCTTTTACCTTTCTTGTTTCTACATGCACATTGTTTTAATTTTCCCCCCAAATCCCTTCTTTCCCAACCTGCCATCAGCATCAGGCAGCTCCAGAGTAAGTAACCAGCCTAACAGAGAAGCCGCTCTTCATCTCAGAGGACTTGTAGTTTTTGTGGCGTCCATTGTTTCCATCGTCAGTCACCTCAGTTTACTGCACTCTGCATCACCGCTGAGAGGAAAGAACTAGACCAGCCAGAAGCACCAGATAATCTGGGATTAAGGAGGCAGTTTTAGGAAAAGATGATAAAAATCAATAATTTACCAAAAACTGAGTAGGCTGAAGCCGAGGCTTATATGTACTTGCCTACCCTATTCAATGACTCTCAGTATATTGTCCCTATACATACACACACCCCTTAAATATACATGTGTGTACATATACATACAGTATATACACATACATACATTACATGCATACATGGTTACAAAATATAAATATAAATCCATATAACAGTATAAGCTTTTATAATTTTACATTGTAAGGATTTTGGACACTGGGGGGGTGAAGTTCAGGTTTCTGGCTGATTCAGGTGTTGAATGTTTGGAGGTGATTTTAGGTTAGCAGTACCTTCTATTAAAAACACTCATTTCAGGATGTGGAGGAGTTTTTCTTTGGCATAAAATCTATCTGTTTTTAAAAGAGTTTATCTTAATTTTGTGAATTTAACATGAGATATTGTGCTGCATTCACACCAAACACGTTCTGAGCATCAACGTTTATTTATGCTTGTGCACTTTGAGGTCAGACGCTCGTCAAAATTGCTCCTGATGCGTGTCGAGCACATCGAGCCTCTTTTATTTATTTATTTTTGTCACTACGTCACAAAGTGGAGTCTTTCTGATTGGTTGAAGCCCTGCGTCGAGCTGCAACAGTTCAGATTTTCCATCTCAAAATGCTCAAAAGGCTTCAAAATGCACCACAGCACTTCCCGATGCTCCTTGTTGTGCGTCCAACACAGACTCTACATGTAAACCTGATGCTCTAAACATGTTTGGTGTGAACGCAGCATTAATGTTTTTGATACAGCAGAATAATTTTATGTTTCAGACTCAGAATCTGAGGGTTATTATTTAACAGCATATTATAATAAACTCAGCTCTTTACATTTTATGCCGAGATTCTTTAACAATTACTTTATATTACTTGTTTATTATTACATAAACCAATGGTCCAAGTGTTTTCAGTTTTACGTGGTGGTTTTGTTCGTGGCAGGATCTGAGTTTCACTGAATCGGTATTTTATTTGTTTGCATTTCTTATCTGTTACTCGTCATGTTTTTCTTTAATCTTGCTTTTTCTCTTTCATTCTTTGAACAATTCCACCTCATTTCACTACATTTGAAGCATTCTGTATTAACTGTTGTTGTTTTAAACATAAAACTACTTTCTGAAAAACTCCTGTTTAAAGTTAAAGTACAAAAGAGCAGAATGAGTTTTTGGCTTTACTTGGAGTTTTATGACTCTTCCTGTTTATAAGCTAACAGATCAGCTCCTGTGGTGATCATTTTTAAAAGTAAAACCTGATGTTTCTGAGCCAAAGTGGGGACACCTTAGCTTTAAACTAAAAATAAACATACAGTTTTACTACAAAAAAGTGTAACAGTAAACATAAATTGAGGTTTATTATAGAGGTTTTTGGTTCATCGTTTTAGTCATAAATTAACTGATTTTATTCAACCTGTTCCCATATGGTCCCTGCTCTGTGTTTAATGTGTTTGTAAGATAACTGTTTCAGTGTTTATCATGTGCATCATGTGGTCATGTTTCAGGGGTGGACCTGGTGTTAAACTCTCTAGCTGAGGAGAAGCTGCAGGCCAGTATTCGCTGCACCGCCAGACACGGACGGTTCTTGGAGATCGGCAAATACGACCTTTCTAACAACTCCCCCCTGGGTCAGTACGACCTCACGGTACCACTTGTTACTTTGCATCTGGCTCTCTCATTTACCACCCGCCTTAGATGGCGGGTGATGCCAGAAGGACAGCAATGTTGTTTACTCTCGTATGCGTCTTTATCTGTGATGTTAGCAAAGTATCACACATAATCAGAGAATGTTCAACATCTTTGATTAAAACTTTCTTTTTGTTGTATTGTTGACTTCGAGTGGACGGTTCAAAGCTGAATTTGATCATGACGTGTTTTCTTGTGTCCTCCTCAGGCATGGCCTTCTTCCTGAAGAACGTGGCGTTCCACGGCATCCTGCTGGACGCCCTGTTTGAGGAGGGAAACAGGGAGTGGGAGGAGGTGTCCCAGCTTTTACAGGGCGGCATCACCACAGGCGTCGTTCAGCCTCTGCAGACCACCGTGTTCACCAGGGACAACGTGGAGCCAGCGTTCAGATACATGGCTCAGGGCAAACACATCGGCAAAGTCCTGCTGCAGGTGTGTGGTCTCTCTGACTCTGAGAGGACCAGAACTTCAAGTTCTGATTGTCACAGTGTATGCTCTTTCCCACAGATCCGCTCTGAGGAACAAGGGGCAGCCCTTCAGCCCGCCTCCCCTCTGTCTATCCCAGCTATCTGTCGCACCTTCTGCCCCCCGTCTCACTCCTACATCATCACCGGAGGACTTGGGGGCTTCGGTCTGGAGCTGGCTCAGTGGCTGATCGAACGAGGAGCCAACAAACTGGTGCTGACCAGCAGGTCAGGCATCAGGAACGGTACGAGCTTACACAAGATGTTTGGTCAACAAGAGAGGAGTAGTTTGGGTTTGTGTGTTTTATTGCAAAATACAGATGTGTCTATAAGAAAAGTAATCCTGCTGCTTGGATGTTTACATGATACGTGGATTAACTCACCGTGATATCACTTAGATCGGATTATTAGGATATTTATTTATGAAAATATGCCTAAAGCTTTTACACAACTAATTAACTTTTGGAGGCAACCCATTTCAAGATGGCTGCAACAGCAAACAAATCTTATCAAACACAAACAGACTATACAGGGTTCCCACGGATCCTTAAAGGGCCAATATTATGTGTTTCTCAGGCATATATTTAAATACCATACCATAATAAAGTATCTATATCACCT